GTGGGGTGATAGGAAGAGAATGTCCCTATTCAGTAGAGATTACCGCATTTTTCAGTTTATAAGACTATACTTTTATCTAAAATCTTTAAACTAAAAATTGAGGGTCATCTTTTACATGGAAGTAAGCTGAGGAGAAAAAAAACAAGTGGAGGGGTGTGATTGGGTTCAGCTCCTGCCGGGGGCGGCCCTTGACTATGGGCGGGAAAGATAGTCGGAGGCGGCTCTGTACTTTGAGCATTTCTCCTTTTATTATTAAACACACTTAATTCAACAGTCTCAAACAGGTCCATTAAACTTAACTCTGGCAAAATATGATAACTTCTTACTTTGACATCTGGTGTTTTCAGGTCACTCCTTACAGAGGGGCCGGACCAAACCGCTCTCGATCTGTCATTGGCCTCAGTGGAGCCTGTGCCGTGCTGTTCACAGCATGGATGTCTCGCCCAGTCCCCCTCGCGCGGTTGATGGGGTAAAGAAGGACTGGGATGGATCACCCTCTTTCCCCCACGCTGATTGCGAGATACACCACCACCATCCATTCTATGGGTTCCAACTCATCTACTCGCGCGCGATAGTCCTTTGGATCTGGCAGTAACCCTCCTTCCAGCTGGAGGTTAGGGAAGTCTTTTAATAGTCCATGCAATTCTCCTGGCCCACAGCTCAGTTCTGTCTGTACCGCTCGGTCCTTCCTCTCCGGTTGTTCGCCACCTGTTACATTTCTGAATTCTAGCGCGCTACCCCCTCCTTTTATATCCTCCTCCCATACAATTAGGTCAAGCTCCTCCCCCTTCTCCTCAGCCAGGAACACCTCCAACCACCCTTTCCATTCCTCCCTCTCCTGATCTATTTCAACCAATATTCCCTCTACACAACCTTGACTTTCCTCCGACTTCTGCTCTGTAGAGGATGGGACACTGGCCTCCTCTCCTTCACAAGGGGAAAGCAGGGATCAAAGTGATCCTGCAGGGCTTTGAACCCTGCTTTCCGCTCCACTTGCTAAGCCTTAGCAAAAAGAAAGCAGGGATCAAAGTGCTACAGGATTGCTTTGATCCCTGCTTTCCCCTCTGCTTGCCAAGTCCCATGGGGCTTAGCAAAAGGAGGGAGAAAGCAGGGATCAAAGCCATCCTGCAGCACTTTGATCCTTTTTACCCTACATTTGCTAAGCCCCACTTAGATTTCTTAATTTTGGGTTAGGAAAGTGGGGGGTGTCTTATACATAAGGGATTCTTATACATGGAAAAATACAGTACCTCAGAAATGCCCAAGATAATGAAAATCATTTTAAAGCAAAACATTCATTTCCAGAGCAGGGTCCCCTGAAATCGAATAGTTCTGAGGGAGAAGTTAATAAATCCCTTTATTCTGAGCATAGGGCCAATAAGAAATGCTTTTCCTGTGGGGAAGAGGGACATTTTGGGGCTCAATGTGAAAATCCTAAAAACTGAAATTTCAGTCAGCCTAAAAATGGAAATTACAATCAGCTTAAAAAAGTATTTTGCCTTCAGCCATGTACAGTTGAAGTTGAGGCCCCTAACGGCTGCACTGTTGTTAAGGAAACAGACTTGGCAGAGAGCCTAGAGCTTCCCGAGGGCAGAGTGTTACAGTGTTATTTTATCCAGTGTGACCAAGACTTATAGCAAAGCTCTGGGGAATATTAATAAACTAAGAGGTATGTATAGTGATGGTAAAATTAATAGTAAGTACCCTTAGTAAGGTAAGAGTAATGCAATGTAATCCTTATTAATATAAGTAATATATCCTTAGTAATGTAAGTAATGTAAGAGGTTAATATTTGCATTCTTCCAGGTATTTTCATTTGTTTATGAGGGCAAACCGTTAAGTTTCCCCTCTTGTTACAAACTTATTAAGGGGGGAGGGGTGTGGCATCCACCCAGGTCATGAATATTAATATACTATCTGCATGGACCAATGAGAGTGCTGGAGAGGCGGAGTCACAAGATATAAGAGTCTCTACAGGAAGAGGAGATTAGATTGGAGTTTTGAGAGATTGGAAGATTGGGATTTTGGAGCTGAAAGAGAGTTTTGGAAAGGCAGTAGAGAATAGAAAGAAAGGCTGTTTTGTTAAGAGTTAATGACATTGATTGTACCTTCATCACCTGTAACAATAAACAACTTCTATTTGGTTCTTTTTAAAATGACACATTGCCTGGACATAATGTTGATGCAATTCACTGGTGGCAGCACACAACATGTAGTTTGAAACAACCAAGGGGCAAGCAGGAAGCAGATGCAGATGGTGGAAAGGAATGGATGCATTTAGACTGGATTTGGAAGCATGCCCAAGCCCCACCTTCTGCTGTCCATCCAGTTCAAATTTGTATTAGTGTCTTTTACCTACATTTCTACTCTAGAGGTGAATTAGAAATCTGTTGGATTAACATTTTAGTGCAAGATTGATTACTCAGTTTGCACTTGCTGAAAGTGAATGAACCCAAATGCTATCATTGCTTGCTAGAAATACATACAACCACACACACCTGACACAAGTGACAAAACAAAGCAAACAAAAGAAATGCTCATGGTTGCTTGAATCTATTTGAAAAATACGCACTCAGTTTAGTCAATGGGAAAATGCATAGAAGACTGTGACTACTTGAAAAATGTACATGGAAGTACATATGAAATTCCATATAGAAGAGGAAGAAGACTTAAAATCCAATGAAAATTCAAGTCAGAATGAGCTTGGCACTGGGAAAAAACAGGAAAATCTTAGTGAGATCAGGCTGGAACACCCTCCCCCATTCTAAGTCTTGACAGCTTTACGATATCTGCCCAAATGCTATTACTGTACTACAAAGCTGCTGAAACCTTCAGATGGGCTCTGAAAGCATGACAAGACATGGCCAAAATTTGACTTCACAGTACTTGCAGTTATTTATTTTATGAAGTAATTTCTATTCCAGCCCTCTGCTAGACTGCTGTTATTCAAGTACTACATATGCAAATTTTAATACAAGCAAAATAAAAACAGCATTCACATACTATTATTTCTTTCCTTCTTTCAAAAGCTTAGAGCCAGAATTTTTGAAAAGATTAGTAGCCAAAGCCTATTGTATCCCTGCGGTATTTCACATACCTAACTTAAAAGCAAATGGAATATAGAGTAGTAAAAATCAGCCAACACTGTGACTAGATTGCAAAAGGTGCTCTCTACACACAAAGATTAGGAATGACTAGGATTACTGATATAGAAAATATAGAGTTAAAACAGATGATCAGTGAGATGATCAATGAAAAGACCCAGCCAATAAAACCTTCTCCACAAGTTGTTAATCACATATTAAGAGTACTTTTATTAAACCAGCAAACATTCATCCAAGACAAGGTTATCCTAGAGAAAGTAATCCTTAAGTACATAATACTTTTAAATGCAATTAGAAAGATTTCCCATCTCCCACTCTTAATTCAAGCTGGGGAAAACACAGAAAAGGACAAGTAAAATGCTGAAGTGGTTGGAGTAGCTTGCTTAGAAGGAGAGCTTTAAAGTGTGGCAAAAGTGGAAGAAAATCTATTTCAAGACAGTTACTAGTCAGGAGTCATTCAGGGCAACGGAACAGCTATTGTTATCATCATCATCATCTTAGAACTGCTGAGCTGGAAAGGACCCTATGGATCATGATGTCCAACTCCTGTCGACGAGGGGCCGTGGGGGAATCAAGCTCCCAACCTCCGGCTCTGCAGCCAGGGACCTAAGCCACTAAGCTTAGTAGTTTAAGTGTCAGTGGTCTGGTGCCATTCTGGTGCACCTCCATTTTGTCACTCATTTCCTGTCCCAGAAAAACAATCATTTATCCATATATCTGGCTGGACTTTAAGGACTGGGTGAGCTGCCTCCCAGAAAAACAATCATTTATCCATATATCATTTGAAAACTCTTCTGAATCACTGGACTTTAAGGACTGGGTGAGCTGCCCCAAAAGAAACAGTTGTTCTTATAACAGCGGGAAGACAACGCACCTCACAGAAAATATTTGTTGGTTCCGTTTTGAAGAGAAAGATGCTGACTTTCCATAGTTTACTCCCAAAACGAGAACTGTAACAACCTATTCCAAACATGTGCTTAAGAAAGAAGGCAAGGCAAGCTCTGTCAGAAGACACAAGCATTCATTATCATGTGGATACATTCCTAAGCGAGCCTTATGCAGACAAACTGCTGGCGTGGTTCTTTCTGCTAATCCTGATTCATGGCTGCTCACTGGGGAGAAGGCAAAGCCTAGGAACCCCGTTCTGTATTGTGAATTACATGTGACTAGCAGCGCTAACATGGCGCAAAGCACTTTCTGCCAGTCTAGACAAACAACTAATTCAGACAAGATGCCTAGTCCAATACCACAAATATAAAATGCATCTGTGTTATGGCAGAGGGAAAGTCCTCAGGGATATATCTTGGGCCACTTGTCTCTTTATATACAGGAGATTACTGATGTAGAAAATATCATGTTCTCTTGCCAAAAAGGGAACATCTTTTCCCCACATTCCTTCTTCCCTATTCATTAGAGAAGAGATGAGCAGTATCTAAATAAATCTTAGGTCTCATCCATATTCCAATAACACCTTATTTCTGAGTTCAGGGGAACTGCTTGAGGACAGAGACCATCTGCCTAGTTTCTAGCTGTCTGACAACCATCAGGAAAACAGGGTGCAAGCATGTATTTCTTTATAAAGCGTTACAGCACATGCAGGTTCAGTACTGTTTTGTGTCAAAAACAAGTCTTAGAGGTTGTTTCACAATGATTCCTCGGAGATGTTTTGCTCAAGGGTCGCTGCCATTCTTGGTCTGGCGTTAAAGTACTTGTAATTTTCACACTACAGAATGTTTGATATATGTAAGACTGGGTCCAGAGAATCACAGTTTTAGCAACAGAGGTGAGAAATTCCTCTGTGTATCAATGACTGCATGGCCATGTCACGTTCTCATTAATAACTCAAACCCACAGTGAAAAAGTTGTCAGGAGAAACAGTTATTGCCTGAGACTTACTAGGCTTGGCGTTAACAACAATGTTCTCGGGAGAATGCTGGGAAGAGAATCTGCAGTTCTCGTCTTGACCTTCACTGCTTCCATACTCTATGACGTCTACATGCCCAAGGGGCACACTCCATTTTAATAAGTACCTTTGGCCTGTCACAATGCCGCCACTTTCATGGGCAGATCTGGAGGGAAGAAAAGTCACAAGAGAATATTTTACACTATGAAAGACATCATTTAATTGAGACAAATGCTTTCTACTCCATAAATAGCTCCACACTGTATACATTTCTTTAGGCAAATCATTAACCTGCTTGTAAGCCTCACTTAACTCAGTGGGGTTACAGCTGCAGAGGACTGCAGTTCTAATGTCTTATTTTTGTGTTCGGCATTCAATGACAAATAAAATCGAAGTGAACAGAAAATCATGGAAGCATTTGATTTTCTTTTAAAAGCTATTTCTAAAGATTTCACTATTTTAAGCTGCTTCTCTAAAAAGGAAAGTGCTCCCACCCCTTCAGTTAAAGGACATCATACCATCATCCGACAGGAAAAAGCAATTTTGCAGCTAGACACAGCAATTTGACGAAATGCCATGTATAACAATTCCAAGACTCTTGTTCCCAGATTGCCTTTATGCTTAGTCCTTTGTTTTTCAACATACATATAAAGTATTCCAAAATGAAACAGAAGACGGGGTGAGGAGAAATGTCTTTATGAAGAAGGGGAAAGCACAGAAGTTGAGATGGATAGGTAAGAAAAAGGTTGTTAAGGGAAGGAAAGGCACCAAAAGCAGCAAAACAGAAGCAAATTCAGAACAACCCCATCTCTTTTTATTACAAAACACATAGCATGACCTTATATTTTGGGAGGGTAAAGGAGAAGTAAGTATTCCACTGGTAACCTATGTTTGTTTTTAACAACAGCTTCAATAACCGTTGCTAACTTAAAGTTTGCTTTTTTTTCTGCTTGCATTTTAAATTAGCACACAAAGACAGGCCTGTTTACTTCAGAATGGTAAAGGCACATGTTGCCGTTGCCATAGAAATGCAGCAGAAGAGGGGTTTGCTGTGGCGAGAAAGAATTCCGTCTGCCCTACCTTTGCAGAGACAGGCCAACGACACCAGCCTGCCACCCTCTTCCCTCCCAGTTCCCAGCAGGCTGAGAAATTCACTGATTGCTGGGATGTTGCATATGGTAAAGTGCCGACAACTGTAATGGGCCGTTCAGGAATTACTTGGTACAAGGAAGTCAGTTTCAGTACCAACACAGCGTGGCCACGGGGTTGTGGTTTCTGGCAATCTCCAGAGGTCCAGGGAACTGCAGATACTCAGTCCTGGGTCTCTGAGGGCCCCACCTGCTCCTGTGATTCCCGTTCCATTTTATTTTTGTTTTGTTTTTTAACAAAACAGTGTGGGTTTTCTTTTTAAACTGAAAAAGCCCTCTTTCGCCCTCTGTTGGTCTTTTTTTTTTTAAAGGTACATGCTAGGCATGGGGACGAATATAAAAACGAATCAGTATATTCAATGAATATCCCTGATTCGTCAGATATTCGTTGCTTCTTATTCTTGGGAATCCAGAGACCCGAACGAATATGAAGCAACAAATATAACCCTTTTATATTCGTCCCTCTGTTCTCTATCTGCTTATGCCCCCGCGGATCAGCTGTTCTTCAGAGGCATAAGCAGAGAGGGTTTTTCCCTTCAGGCGGCTTGCTAAAGCCTGCCAGAAGGGAAACCCACCCCCAAGGCTGGGGGATGGCTTGAATCAGGCTTTCCCCCCTTTCTATCCCCAGTGGCACAGGAAGAGGGGAAAGGGATCAAAGCGATCCCCCAGCTCTGCTGGCTTTGCAGCATCACTTTGAGCTGAGGGGATCGTTTTGATCCCGTTCCCCTTCCTCCTATGCCACTGAGCATAGAAAGAAGGGGAATGCCCGACCAATGCCATTCCCTAGCCCACTACCTTTGCAAAGGCAGCAGAGCCAGGGGATCGCTTTGACCCCTTTGCCCCCTCTTATGCCACTGGGGGCAAACTCTACTTCACTGCCAAATGTGATGCTGCTGAAGACAAATCACATGGAATGCAGTTACTAAAAGTGAAAATTATCTTCCGCTAACTTGTCTCAGTATGATTGGAATCTTACCGGAGATTCACAGTAGCACACATTAGTACATCATTTAACATGAACAGTCGTCGCTCTTTGGTTTTGATGATTTCTCCTCTGTCATTGTAAACCGTTTCTAGCATATCATCTGTTCGTATGAGGTATCTGTTCCCACTGCTGAGTAACTGAAATGCGCACAAATTATGTTAGACAATTCATGATGCATAGCACTTCCACACCTGTGCTTTTATCATTTGAAAACCCTTATGAATCACTGCATAATATTTTTTTAATATGTATACATAAGACTATTGAAGAAATTGCTTTATGATATTGAAACTGTAGCCTGAAATCCTGTTGCTTTGTTACACATGCAAAAGGTATATATGACATTCAATCACTTCTGACAATTAACTACCCCTTGCTAGAATTAAGTGTGTGCCAAGCCAACAGGCAAGCATTTCCTTGTGAATCCCAGCAGTTTGGAATTTGAGGCGACTGAATGTTACACCATTTACAATAATTCATTTTACAGTGGTGCCTTGACTTATGAACTTAATTGGTTCAGGAAGATGATCATAACTTGAAATGGTTGTAAGTCGAAGCACCATTTCCCATAGGAATGCATTAAAATTCAATTAATCCGTTCAAGCCGAAGGGAAAAAAAATCACCCCAAAAATAAATTAAATTAAATCACTGCAAGACTGGTGGGAAAGGCGATTAATCCCTTCCAGCCGAAGGGGGGGGGGAGAGAAAAGCAATCAACCGTGCAAGACCTGTTGCAAATGCAAAGAAAACAAAAACAATCAAGGATGCAAGACCTAATTCAAAGAAACCAAAAACCAATCAACCGTGCAAGACTCATTGCAAATGGAAACACGACAAAGCAAAAAGCAATCAAGCAGATTGTGCAAGATCGAAAATGGGGGGGGGACTAAAAGGCAAACAAACTCCCCAAGACTCGCTGGAAATGGGGAAAAATCCAAAAAACAAGGAAACTCCCCAGGACCCATCGGAAATGGGGAGGGATCCAAAAAGCAAGGAAACACCCCAAGACCCATCACAGCACAGAAACATAACCCTCCCCAGCTGAAACCATGATGCAAAAACACCCAGAACAGTTTTAAAAAAGCAGAAAACAGCTCCTTACCTTAACAGGCAGCTACAGTTAGCAATTTGAATTTCCCGCCTTTTTTCCCCTGCCTTTTTCTGTTTGTAACTGGAAGCTCCGGTTGCAAGTAGAACCAAATTTTGCGGCCAGAGCTGGTCATAACTCGAAATGATCATAAGTAGGGACGTTCATAAGTTGAGGCACCACTGTACAAGAAAACAAGAATTCAGCCATAGACTAAATCCAACTTTATACCCGTTTGAAGCAAGGAAAACTTAATACAAAGGCATTTGTATATGTTTGGCACAGAGAACATTACGAACCACAAAATTCATCTGGCCAGTATAACCAGTGATCCTGCTTAATTAGCACAGGAGCAGCTGTCAAGAAAGAGTAACTTTTTCAAGCTCTGCCTTGGGTGCAGTTGAAGCCAACCAACTGCTCCCTCTAGTGCCATATTCGAGTGGCAGGGAGAGAACAGAAATTAAAAGCCCACATCCTCACTATGGAAAGTGAGGGTGGTTCTCATGGGTAATTTCTTTCCTCTATAACAGTAATCAGGAAGGAGGAAACGATGCTGTTCCTACCTTGTTCAGATAACGCTCATTCATGGCTTTTGCAATTTGTTTTATTTCGCAGCGCTGATCTGCGTCCCTTTTCCTCTCATTTAGTTTCTCTGCCAAGGTTTCAAGTTCTGTGAGAGCCATCTGTAGAGGCAGCCTGTCAGGGTGCCCTTTACTGGTGTTCTTTAACATATCCTTAAGAAATAAAAAAAATAATTTAAAAGAAAAGAAACTAGAATATCATGTTTTGATCTCAGCCTAATTCAGGTTTTCTTGATCACAGCATACCTAGGAAGTCATCTCAACCTATCTGTATCCTCATCATCTCAAAAATCCATCCATGTCATCTATTTAACATGACTATGTCAAGAAGGGTACATAACTCTTGGTAACCTTTGCCGAAGTCCTCAATCTTGATAGTAAAGTGATCAGTCCATGTGATCTTGATATTTCAATATTGCCATCATTCACAGGAATATGAACAGACACATCAAGGGTGGATAAACTGTATGCCATTAGGCTGGACTACAACTCCCAGCATTCCTCATCAAAGGCTATGATGGCTAGGTTTGATGGGCACTGCAGGCCAACTGAATCTTCAGGGCCAATCTGTCCACTTAACTGTACCCTGTGTGCTCACTTCTCAACATAGTTACTTGATGGGGAATTGTCTACCAAACTAACAGAGACAGGAGTCCTCTCAGAGAACTTGTATACATAAAGTCTCAGAAATCTTTCATTAAGGTCTTCATGTACAGTAGTTTGAATACCATGTCATAGACATATTGTTTATCATTCTTAAAAAACATACTCCACACTCCGTTGTTGTTGTTGTTGTTGTTTTCAATTTTTCTGGGGAAAAAAATCAAAATAATTCTGGGTTTTTTTCCCTCAGTTTTTCCAGGAGTTTTTCCAGGTCTTCCAATCTCTAGACAAGGTACTAAAGTGTTTATGAATTCTTATTCACATACTTTTTGGGGAAAAGTCATTTACTTATAAGGTGAAAACATGGTCTGATCTGAACACTGCTTAAACTTTAAGAGCATTTGCTTCTGTCCAGAAATTGCTTGACACGTTACACTTTGGAAAGTATGCCTTTTATTCCTAATTTGGCATTACCCAGTGAAATAATGACTGGTCACTGAGAATCAAAGAAACATTATCTCAGAGCTACTGCAAACTCAGTGCTACCTGAATGCATTAGCCTTCTAATTTGGGAAAGAAGAACCAAAAAATAAGACAATGGTAAACATGGCACAAAGTCCCTATTATTGATAATGTGACTTGCCTGTAACAGGAGGATGAACTGAGGAAAACGTTGTATGGGTTTCATCATTAAGCCATAGAGTGTAATTCTGTCAGGACTAGATTCTTGGCATTGCTGTAATGACAATATTTCAAGTTTTTCTTCAGATCAACTCCATTAACTTTTTCAAAAGGATCAGGGGTGAAGTCTGGGCAATGCAAAGCACACCTTGTCCAAAGTATGTACAAAAATGCTAGCTAATGGCAACAACCGAATGACCACAAAGAAAACATTAACAAGAAAATCAAGGAGGCGTATCATATACTATCAGTAAATAAGGAGATGCTATACTTAATCCTTAGCATGCTTTCAAAATATACTTAATAGAGTGGGGCGCTAACTACCAGTTTGTTTATTGGCCAAACAGGTGTTTGGTACTTCAAAGGTCCTCTTCCTCTGGCAAGGTGCCCACTCAGGAGGCAGTGCCCGGAGAAGGCAGGGCAGGGAAGCCAGGATGCTGCCTCTGAGTGGGCGCCCACTGGAGGAAGAGGGGCTTTGAAGTACTAAGCACCTGCATGACCACTAAACAACCCGGCACAAACAGTCAAACCAGTGGTTTATGCCCATCCCTAAGACTTAAGCTCTGGCATACATCACTCAGACACAAACACACACCAACAACAACAGATAATGGAAATACAAGGACATGCAAGTAATATTTGCAAAGTAATGTTTAACTTATTCATTTTTAAACAATCACATTGTACTCTCAAGTACTGAAAAAATTAGGTGGACCCTAAATCAGTGGGTTCCCAGAAGACAAGCCTTTATACTTAAAACCCTGAACTAAACATGGATTTTTCACCTTCTATCAAATAATGGTCCTCCAATACGATGGAACTCCCATGTTCAGGCAAAGCAGCCCTGAGAGCCCGTTAAACTGAGCCACGCACAGGATTCAGAGTGAGGCCATCAGTCTAATCTACCCAGAGTGAGATTCTCTGCTGAAGAACCCCATTTTCCCACAGTTGCTAAGGAATTTAAAATATAGATGCACTCACCTTCAAAAACTCAAGAAAAGCAGGTTTTGTGGCACATGTTTTCTTGAGAATCCCCACCGCAGTGCTGAAATTGTTTACATACTCACTGTAAGCATCAAGCACCATAGATTTTGAAAACTGAAACGCATAACAATAACAAAATTATACAATTTTCTAGATCCTATGCAGGAGTTACAGTTCAGTATACTAGTTTACTTTTTAACAGGTTATTAAGGATGAATATTTCAACAGAATTCATACTTTTTGTTAAAAATAAGAAAACTGGTTCTTCTAGGGATTTTGCAAAAGGAATAAACTTGAAACATGAATTACACATCATATTCTCAGTCACATTTCTCTGGGAAAAAGGCTCTCTCCAGTTTAGCATTTGCCCTTAAAATAATGTTATCAAATCTAAGAGTAAACCACAGTGGTCAAAATCCTGTTGCTTAGCATAGTAAATTTCATTACAGTAAACCCACTGATTTAATGGGGATTTAGTGAGTCAACTTTTCTGTAGGGTCCATTTGAATTAACTGGAATTTACTTTAGCATAGTGAGTCATAATTAGAGTAGCCTCATTTGAATCAATGGAACAGATGGAGAATTTGTCTCCCTAAATCCCCATTGATTCAATGGGTCTACTCTAATGAAATTTACTACAATGAAGCAAAAAGGTTTAGACCAGTCATTCTCAACTTTGGGTACCTTTAAGTAGCAATTAAAGACATGGATGTTTTGGCAGGCCTTCCCATCACATAACTCCTGATGCCCTTCTTTCCTCTCTTACTGTTTTTTGTTTTGTGTATTGTGTAAATTTACTTTAGCATAGTGAGTCATAATTACAGTAGGCTCATTTGAATCAATGGAACAGATGGAGAATTTGTCTCCCTAAATCCCCATTGATTCAATGGGTCTACTCTAATGAAATTTACTACAATGAAGCAAAAAGGTTTAGACCAGTCATTCTCACCCTTTTTATTGCCATACACACAATATGGAATATAGGCTGAATCAGGATTGTATAAGTCACATAATGTGAAGAATTGTTTCCAGTCTGTGGCCCCCTTTAAATATGCCAGTGCCCCCCCCAGGGGCCATATGGCCCCGCTGAGAATGGCTGGCCTAGATGAAACACAGTTTCACAGAAACATGTGAGATGCAAGTGTAATAAAATGCAAAACTCTATTTCAGTTAAGGTGAGCATTATAGCCCTGTGAGTTTATAATCCTTGCTCCAGAAGAACTCATCATCTCCTACACCCCAGTTACTTGCAGCAGCAATTCTGATAGTAAACAAGCCTTCCTGGGTGCATCTCAGCTTCCATTCAGGGAAGTAACATGGATCCAGATTAATACAGTTTTCTCAAAGTGCCTGTGTTCTGTGCAAGCACTTGGAGAAAATTATAGTTCCTGGAACACAGTAGCTGCATCCCAACAGGTGCTATGGGGGGGGGATGAGAAACCACCTAACAATCCCCACCCACTGACTCTTGCCACTGGCAGGCAATGGAGAAGGAGATGGCAAACTACTTGGGGGAGGGGTGCCAGGAAAATGAGGACAAAACATCAGAATACATTTGGTATTCTCCAGGCAAAATCTGGGAGCAAAATGTTACAGCTCTACTGCACTCCCAACCTCTTCATGAGTGCAACAGAAGGCTGACTTGAGCTTGGAAGGTAGCCACTTCCTGATTCAGGGCAGTGTGGGGATATGGCTCCGTCAGTTCTAAATTTGACCAGAGAGGAATGGGTCCAGCCTTAGCACCTTAATAACTATGACTGTTTACGTACCGATGCAACAAAAACATCTCCAATCATTTCCACAGAATCCCATTCAGACACACGACTGGCCAGTGCGATTTGGAACATTGAATGACACTGGAGAATTTCCTTAATTCGATAAAAGACCATCTTTAGTTTTCTCTCACTCAACAGTTTGGGCTCCGTCTCTGAAAGAGGCTTCTCATATTGCTGAAATTAAACACAAGGAAGAATGATCAACTGAATAATCACTGTACTGTACTGTTATGTTCAAATTCATTTCTTCATTATACAAAAATACATTAGTAGCAGTGATTCACATGTGATACATCTTCATCTTTTTCAATGACACATTATCCATTAGTTTTTGGGGTTTTTTTAAGCATTGGTTACCTCTAGAATCCTTTTGAGTGCATCCACATAGTTTTTCTCACTGTCAACCACAGCTCCTAAAATATATCTTCTCACCACCTGTTAAATTTCAAAAAAATACATGTAAAAATCACACTCTGAGAACCTGTGAAAAACAGTATTCTCTATGCTCCTCACATTCTGCCTCAGAGAGGACTTATTACAGCGAATTTCAAATGCAGGGTTCACAGGGTGAACCCAGTTAGAACAAACCACTGGTAAGGGAGGAAGGGCTTTAGCTTTGTCAAGGACAGAGACACAGAAGAGCCAATGCATAGCAGATTGTGGCCTCTCTCCTGGTCTTTCCAGCACATTTAAGAGAGGTGGTGTTACATCTGAACATGGAAGTCACTGAATGCAATCTCTATAGAACATCTACCTTATGTGTAACTTCCAACATAGTTTCAAACAAATGTTGAAACCAGGTATTCATTTATCCTTGTTCATACAGTGGTGCCTTGCTTAGCAATGTTAATACATGCAGAAAAAAATCGCTGCTAAGAGATAACATCGCTAAGCAAAAAAAAAAAAAAAACCATAGAAACGCATTAAAACGCAATTAATGCGTTCCTATGGGCTTAAAACTCACCTTTGAGCGAAGATCCTCCATAGCGCCGCCATTTTCGGTGCCTCTAAAGCGAGGAATCCGTGCCTGAAACAGCGGGCGGCCATTTTGTACCCGGCGGACATTTTGAAACCGCCGAAAATGGAGGCTTTGCGATGATCGCTTCCCTGCGATCATTGCAAAGCGAAATTTCCCCATAGGGAACATCGCAAAGCGATTGCTTTTGCGATCGCAAAAACAGCGTCGCTAAGCGATTTCATCGCTATACGGAGCGATCACTATGTGAAGCACCACTGTATTTTGTGAAGGAGAAGGAAAACACAACCTGTGTTGTTCCTGACCATACCCTAAAGGCAGCTTTAACAGAATATTGATTGGGTTTAGGAGAAATGAGCAGGAGATCTGGAATGAATCTAGGAAGAACTCTCTCATTCAACAAACAACATTGTCATTGACGTTTGTTTTTCTCAGTCTGACTTCTGATTGTGACATCATCTCCCACTGAGAGTGTGCATCACGATTTGTCTCCTCTCTCTGGGTGCATGTGAACAGCTTTAACTTTTGAGTAGACAGAACATCCTAATATGGCTCTGCTTCACTAGCTCACCTCCTGGTTACTGGTATTTAGTACACAAAGCTGAAGCCAGAACTCTTACAGATTGTTGGTACAGATGTTGTAAAAACAGCAGCAGCAGCAGCAGCAGCAGCAACAACCAATATTTCCTCAAGCTCCTCGGAATTTTTAAAAAGGTTTACTTTTTATAAAAGCAGCAAATACGACAATTTTCTTTTTTTTTCTATTTTTGGCAAATGCCTTATTCAGTTCTCTACAGCTATGGCTGATGCCTTAGCAGGTCATCCAGTGGATTACATTGAGTTCACTAGTTTGATCAGCTTTTTTCTGCGTACCACGACAAATCCCCATGGGAAATAACTTGGCTGTGTGATTATTATAGGATTATTTTCATTTCAGAAAGCAATGTTGGTTCACTGAAGTTCATTCTGAGTTAGATATCATCCCAAGAGCCAAAATGATTAAGCGTTTCTCGCCTAAGCGAGCAATGAAACACAAGATAAATAAAACTCAAGATCCTATTATGCCACCGTGTGGTAAGCAGCTGCAAGCACAGCTTTGAAGCAGTGCCCAAGATAGCAAACCCTCACAGAGAAAAAGTGTATAAAGAGCAGAACATGGAAAAGTTACTTTTTTGGACTACAATCTCCTGAATTCCTAGTAATGGGCAACAACATCCAGAATCCCCAGCATGGGATAACTTACTTACAGAACAAATTTCAATTTTGGTTTAATGTGCAAGTCAGCGAAGTTCTAGAGCGTTTAACAAATGAACCCTAACTACACACACAAGAAGATTTTGTGTTAGACTTCAGCAGCATCCAATACACAAACACAAACCTGTTGCTGTGATAATCCCTCAGGCATAGGAGTCATTATGGCCTCTGGGTGCATACAGTCTACATCAATAAACAGGTCCTCTTCTTCCAGACTGGTGGACCGGTGATCTAGAAATAATCCATCACACTCCTATTTTAACACACATATATGTTACAGAAGCAGGCAATAAAACGATTGCTCCTTGGATGAGTATCTCTGTACATACCAAGCCCCGTGTTCATTTTTATCTATGTCGATTTTTGTTGCTGCGAAAAGGATGATGAACATTTAGGCAGCAGGTTTTGAACAATGAACCTTTCTTCTGAATTGCATCCTCATGAAGAAAGCTGAAGCTCAGAAAGCTGCTGGAGATCTGGGATGCAAACTCACTACAGCTGGGACCTTCCTCCAAAAGAAAACTTCCAATGAACCTATACTATCATTAAGTAAAACTGCAGCAACAGAAATTAATAGAACCAGACGTGAAGCAGCTTTTAATGTCGTGTGTACCAAACAGAGGAGCGCATGGTAACATCAAAAGGCTGAAGAATGTCCTTAGATGCACCTATGCAAAGCTAAAGGCAATGCTCCTTGCGGTCTTGCATGCTGCTGCTGCCTTCTCCATATGAGAAAAGAAAGCACTGGAGAAACAGTTTCCCCGTTATATAAATATCATGGCATCGTACTGCAAGTCAGCTAATATGGTGAAAAGCTGGCAATTTAGGCTATACGTAAGGCTACTCCACACATTACGGATTGAGGACAGAGTTCATAGTTTCCATCAAAAACAATGCCAGCAAGTTGGCATGTACCAGATGGTTCAGCTAGTTGTCATGGTGTCTGGGAGATTCCTGCAACAGTATGCCCAAATATAGTTTCTCCAAGCCCTACTTCATCCCCAGATTAAATGGTTATAATTGCAGGAGAAACATGCACAGGGAGGTTATATTTATATGGAAACAATCAGACTTAGACAGGAAGGAGAGATGAACAATTCAAGCATGTTCAGGAATGAACCGTTTTATTAGGAAACAAACATGCTAAAACAATTGGGTGAAGAGGTACAGAAATGAAAAGAAAGAGTACTAAAATAGCTTGACATTCTTTGATAGCTCTAACAGATGATGGGTAAAGGAAGAATGTGATGCTGTTCAGAGAGAGGAGTCAGCAAGCACCAAATACATAAGCAAATCATGTTTCTTCAGCAGTTAACTAGTGAAATAGTGTAAGGAAGATCTACCCGTGCCAATCGTGTGAGCCAGGAGGTGAGGCTGAGGAGCCTAATGCCGAGGGAGGCCAGGAAGGAAAAGACAAGAAATCGGGCCTTCTCAGCGGTGGCTCCTCACCTCTGGAACAACCTACCTCTGGAGATTTGCGTTGCTCCCTCACTGGGTATCTTTAAAAATCAATTAAAAACATGGATGTTTCGGCAGGCTTTCCCTCCAGTCAATTCCTGACGCTTTCCTTTCTTCCTCTCCCTATTGTTTGCCCCATCTTGTTGAAATGTGTTCTATTATGTAAAAACTGTTTTAATGAAAAGAAAGAGTACTAAAATAGCTTGAATTGACATTCTTTTGATAGCTCTAACAGATGATGGGAAAAGGAGGAATGTGACGCTGTTCAGAGAGAGGAGGTCAGCAAGCACCAAGTACATAAGCAAATCCATTCAGAGTTATAACTATATTAATGAGCCAGGTGGGCAATTCCTGACGCTTTCCTTTCTTCCTCTCCCTATTGTTTGCCCCATCTTGTTGAAATGTGTTCTATTATGTAAAAACTGTTTTATATATATACTTTTATGTATTTTTATGCTGTAAGCCGCCTAGAGTGGTCTTAACCGACCAGATAGGCGGGATATAAAATAAATGAATAAATAAATAAACTATATTAATGAGCCAGGTGGAAAAAAAAGCAGTGGCTTAAAAAGGGGGGCTGCTGGAGTATTGATATGGCCTCTCCAAGGGTTTGCTTAGAGTCGAGGGGAAAGATGCTTGCTGTCTTCAGTGGGTGCTGTGGACAAGGGGACTGGGCTTGGTACCAAAGTCCTGGAGTTCCTTCCCTGGTGAGGGCCTGGGGTCCAAAGGGAGCCCTCTCAATTCCCTTCACTAGCCTTACGAGGGAGAAAGAACGAGGAGGGCAATGAATCACTGTGTTTACAGGCAAGGCTTGCCCATTTCAACCTACTTGGTCCCATCAGGAGCCTCAGAATCCTTAGGATGCCGCTACTTGCACCGAGCAGCATTATTCTCTTAAATGCAGACGTCTGCCTGAGGAGAGGCTTTTCCTAAACAGTGGGTTTTGTGTGGCTCTCCTGTCCAGCAGAAAGCCCTCAGATCATGGGCTCCTGGTAAAGAACAGTGTGCCTCTTTTGTTTACTAATAATTGGGTTTGCTGAAATACCTTGTGGTTCTTTTTTTTTTAAATTCCATTCTCCTCCGCTCTTTTTTGCTGTAATTATGAGGTGAATTTAAGTCTTAGGAAAGGGACGTAGTGGCACTGTGGGCTAAACCGCAGAAGCCTGTGCTGCAGGGTCAGAAGACCAAGCAGTCATAAGATCGAATCCACCCGATGGCGTGAGCTCCTGTCGCTTGTCCCAGCTCCCGCCAACCTAGCGGTTCGAAAGCATGCAAATGTGAGTAGATAAATAGGGACCACTTTGGTGGGAAGGTAACAGCGTTCCGTGTCTAAGTCGCACTGGCCATGTGACCACGGAAGATTGTCTTCAGACAAAACGCTGGCTCTATGGCTTGGAAACGGGGGTGAACACCGCCCCCTAGAGTCGAACCCGACTGGACAAAAATTGTCAAGGGGAACCTTTACCTTTACCTTACTAGGTCTTTTAATACAATCAATACAATGAACAGCTTATTGTAGTTATGTTGGTATTACAGGTACTAGATATTGTTTACTAATGTATTACTAATCTCGTTGACATGCTTGATATATTTTTAATGAATTATAATTTACTTATTACTGCTATACTGCATGGTAGGGGTGGGCCGCATGTGGCTTCCAGGCTCCAGCATCCCTAACTCTTGAGCCCCTCCACACCCCCAAAAGATATGTGTATATATATATATAGGAGAGAACCGCTCAAAAAAGCCCCCGGGATGGGTGGTGGGAATTCCGAGGGCTCCCAGAACCGTCAATATCCTTTTTGCTACCAGAAGGTATGTGTGGGCTTCTTCTGGTTTTGTTTTTCTTTAAACCTTTTTTAGTACAACTGGTCTGTGAACAAAACCACATGGTAGCAACCTTTAGAGTCCGTAACTACTAACTTAAAACTTTTCGTGATAATTTTAAACGTTAAATATATTAACCTTTCTGGCAATATCCCCCTTTAGCCCTCCTCCCTGGGAAAGTGGCCCACAGGCTACTGGCTGAAAAATGGTGCTTGGGCCCTTTGAGATCACCCATGCCTGTTATAATGTATTGTAACTACAGCTATTGTGATTGTGCTGAGACCCACTCTGATCACAATATATTGTAGAAAATATGGCACATATATGGCACTACGTATGGTAGACACAGATAAGCTATGCATCCCCCCTGAATCTGTTACTAAACCAAATAGAAAATAATGGAAACGGATTTTTTAAAAAAATCCAGAAGTATTGTTTAAAGGGGAGGGTAGAAGTCTAGATTCACATAACTAAAGATCAGCAAAGATGACCCGAAGCTTTCTTCTCCAAACTCTCCACGACCATCTGCTTGGGTAGTCCCCCTGGACTGCCTGAAATATGGAGGTAAGGTGCAAAATGATACATTTCCCCCCAAAATAAGACCTAACCTGAAAATAAGTCCTAGGATGTTCGTAATATAAGTCATACCCCCAAAATAAGCCCCAGTTAAGTGAAACCTCACCCTCCACCATTGGGCAGCAACCAGCAGAAGATGACATGACTGTATTTGAATAAATGTATAGTTGTACGTGAAAAAAAGTAAAACATCACCTGAAAATAAGCCTAATGTGTTTTTTGGAGCAAAAGTTTATATAAGACTCTGTCTTATTTTTGGGGAAACACGGTATTTTAAAAAGACATCAAGACATTGCTCCTTAGCAATACAACTTGTGGCAAATGCCATGCCATATGGGGCCCAAAGGGAAATGAAAGGGCACAACATATGCTCAGCCCCACATCACAGCATGTTTGTCGGCTTTCTCTTCTGTGAAGTCACACACTCCACTTCAGGTCCAGTACGCATCACGTCCTGACTCCGCTCAATCCAGTTTGCACTTTCATACATCATTCACCCTCCCATTTCTTTACTTTTTCACTTGTTTATTATTTTCACTTATATGCCTTTCTTCTGTCCAAAGACACCCAGAGTGATGTCTGCTACAATATAAATCATAAAGTATTAAAAATACTTTATAATGGGATATTGGAAAGAGAGAAAATACCAGACTCTTGGAAACATTCATTAACTCTTATTCCAAAACCCAAAAAAGATTAGACAGACCAAAGTTCATATAGACCTATTTCATTATTAAATCAAGATGCAAAGATATTTACTGCAATCTTGGCAAATAGAATGAACCTGTTTATTACAAAATATATCAAAGAGGATCAAAATGGGTTTTTAAAGGGCAGACAAATGGAAAATTTAACTAAGAGGGTTTTGAATATTGTATATAGTATAGAAAAAGATAATTCAAAGGAAAGTATTTTATCATTAGATTTTTTAAAGGCATTTGATTGTGTACAATGGCTAACATTAAAGATTCTTTTAAAGGGTTGGGGGTTTGGAAAGAAATTTTATGGGGCAATAGATCAATTATATGTGGAGAATACATCAGGAGTAATTGTTAATGATGGGATGACAGAAGAGATAGCTCTAGGCCGAGACACTAGACAAGGTTGCCCTCTTTCTCCAGTTCTGTTTTGTTTGATTACTGAAATGCTTGCAAATGCAATAAGGAATGATGATTTGATTGAAGGTATGGGTGAAAATAATAAAATAAAGATTAATTTATTTGCTGATTATTCTCTATTGATAGTGAAAAACCCATTGGAAAGTATAGATAGAATTTAAAATCATTTGGAAAAAAATGGGAAATAACTGGATTACGTGTAAATTGGCAAAAATCTGACATAATGTTGTTTAATCATACAATATAAATCATTATGCAAAACATTCACCTCTAAGTTTTTCCTAAGATTCCGGTATCTCTTTTTGTCACCCTAACTCTTTGTTCCAGATTTAACCAACTAATTGCTAGTCTCATCTCAATGATAAATTAATGGGGTATTGTAGTATGGCTACTAGTTGAGATGGTTATGTATTCCCTCTAGTACCAGAGGCAATATGCCTTTGCATATCCCTCACCGGGGTATTTGAGGTGGATGGTTTATCTGTCCTCATGTTCTGCTTCCAGACTTCTCACAGGAAGTTCTGTGAACAGAATGCTAATAATAAGATGATAAAGACAGCATTTCCAGTTGATTCAGCAGGGTTCTTGTTACGCTCTTTCAAAAAAGCTACCAATGTACTTTTTTTCAAACAGGCCATCAGGAGCATTTATTTTAAGCAGCCAGTGTTTCAACAGCCTGATTAGGATCTCCCATATTTAATCAGTCAGCAAGAACCCAGGATGTTCCACAAAGGAAAAATTTAGTGTGAGGGCTGCATGAAAGACAAGCCAACCCATTATCTAACTGGTAAAGGTCAAGTAACTCCTATCCATTTTGCATGAAAGACAAGCCAACCCATTATCTAGCTGGTAAAGGTCAAGTAACTCTTATCAATATACAATATTTGTTTTGGCTGAAGGGTTTATGTATCTTCACAACAGGAAACTAATCCCAAGAGCCCTCCTCTGACATTTTTAATCACTCTGATCTTGGACCTGTGCTCCTAACACCTATGCCTGTTGCTTTACAATAATTAGATATTTATCATAAATACAGTATATCACAGAAATAAATACATCCCCTCACATTTCATTAATATTTTAGTATATTTTAGTACTCACTTTTGTTGCCAGAGGTTTAGACATTAATAGCTGTATGTTGCGTTATTTTGAGGGGACCACAGATTTACTCTGTTATACAACCTGTATATTCATTGCTTTACATTTTAGCCAAGTGTCATTTCTTCAGTGTTGTCACATGAAAAGCTGTACCAAAATATTTATGAAATGTGAGGGGGTGTGCTCACTTCTCTGATATACCATATTTCTCTTTTTAAAACATATACAGTGGTGCCCCGCGAGATGATGTTAATTCGTTCAGCGAAAACCGCTGTCTTGTGAAAACATCGTCTTGCGAAATGCAGTTCCCCATTGGAATGCATTGAAATCCGTTTAATGTGTTCCAATGGGGACAAATTGTCGTCGTTTTGCAAAAATTGCCCATAGAGACAATGGTTTGCGAAGCGCCAATCAGCTGTTAAAATCGCTGTCTTGCAAAAATCAATTCCAAAAACACCTGTTTTGCGAGAGGCGGACCTAGCTGTCAAAACCGTCGTCTTGCGAAGCACGGACCGAAACATCGTATAACTAAAATCACCCACAGTAAGCACTGTTTTGTGAAGCGCTATAGCGATCGCAAAAACTCATCGTCATGCAGATTCGTCGTTTTGTGAGGTAATTGTCTAGCGGGGCACCACTGTATTTAAGAGAGTTACAAAGTTAGCTAAGTGCATATCTTATGAGAATAAATAACCAGCTGCAGCAATTAGGCTTACTTTTTATGGATGGCACTCCAAATTGACAGACTGACTGGAGCACATCACACTCAAGAAAAGATTTATCTGGCAACAGATAAGAAATCTGCTTGACTACACTCTACTGTGTATACCGTATTTTTCGCTCCATAAGATGCAATTTTCCCCCCAAAAGGGGGGGGGGAAGTATGTGCATTTTATGGAGCGAATACTGTAGAAAAGGGTTCAGCCACCACCACCCAGAAGCCTCCCATCACTGTGCTGGGAGGCCTCTGAACCAGTACCAGAGGCTGCTCACCATGGCAGGCACATTGCACCTCACCATTCTGCCACCTGCACTGATGGCTTTCCAGAATCTGCCTCCTGGAGCCCACTTGGAAAGCCAGCAGGGCCAACAGGCCTATGGCAGCAAATTTAAATGGCAGAGGACAGTGAAAACAGCCAAGGACCAAAGGGGAAAGAGTGATTCTAGAAAGATCAGGGGAAACCACAAACACAGTCCCCCACTATCACAAATTAGGCAGTTGATTTTCCCCACATTTGGGGAAATCACAGGGATCAGCACACCTGAATTGCAATGGATGAGCCTCACCCTGGAAAAACCACTTTCATGATCATGGTATCTCCCCTGCCAGGTAAGTATAAGTTGGAGTGGCCCCTGTACCTCCTGCCCCCTTCTGTGCCCTGCCCCCCCAAGGCATGGTGATCCCCCCAGCTGCACCTCCCACTCAGAACAGGGCTGCACAGCCCCAGTCCCAGCAGAGGCTAAGAGAGCTCCTCAGTGTTTTGGGGTGTCCCATGGGACCCCCATCAGGGGCTGGGTGTTCCTCCCACAATCCTCCAGTGCACAGATATTAGTATACCTAATGTGCAGGGAAGGCAAAGAAAGCGGGAAATTCAAACTTTCAGCTGCTTGTCTGCTTCCTTGCTTGTGCAAGCAGTTAGAGAGCTGGGAGAGAGACCTGGGACTGCCTGGGACTGCCTGGTACAGTGGTGCCTTGCTTAACGAGCGCCCCATTTAACGACAAAACTGCTTATTGACGAAGAATTTGTGATCAAAAAACAATCGCATTGCGATGTTTTAAATAGGAAAAAATCGCTTTGCAATGATCGGTACACTATTTCACTTACCGATTATTGCATAGTGATCTTTTTCCTACAGCTGATCGGCGGTTCCAAAATGGCCGCCAGAAAAGAAACATGGCCGCCCACTGTGTTTTGGAATGGATTCCTTGCATAACGGACAGCGAAAATGGCCTCCATATGGAGGATTTTCGCTTAAAGGTGAATTTTTTGCCCATAGGAACGCATTGAAGGGGTTTCAATGCATTCCTATTGGCTTTTAAAAATCGCTTGGCGATGTTTTCGGTTAGCGGCGATTTTTGCTGCACCGATTAACATCGCTAAGCGAGGCACCAATGTATTGTCATTTTAAAATGTAAAATTTAGTTTAAAAGCTGCTTGTCTGGGGTTAAACTGTGCTTTGGTGAAAAGGTTCTCCGTTTGAGTTGAAACCTGCTTGTGTAGAAACATGCATACTTACTTGCTTTAAAAGCTGCTGGTAGTGTTGCTTTAAAAGCTGCCTGGGAAGCCTTTCAGACCAGCACCAACCAGCTGTTGGGTGGGGAGAGGGAGGGGGAAGGAGCCGAGAAGAGCACAAAACGCTGCCTGCTGGGTGCTGGCTTTTAACTGTTTGGTGCTCTTTTTTGGCTGTTTGGGGGCGCTACCAAGGCACTGAGGAGCTGGGTTCAGTCTACAGTACCTGGCAAGTGACTTTCTTTTAATTTTTTAAAGTTTCTGATCTTTTTTCCCCCCATAGGAATGCGTTAATTAATTTTCAGAGCATTCCTATGGGAAATTTGGATTCGACTTACAAACTTTTCAACTAGTTCTGGGCATATAATAGAGAATGTATTTCCAAAGGGTGATGCAGCAAGGAAACTAACTGTGCTTTATGAGCCAGAACACAAACTCGGCTGCTGATCACAAATTAACCCTGCATACATGGGTAGCAAAATTCAGTCTTACTTTTAGTTGTTTCCAAGTCCTAATGGTTGTGGTACCTCTTTGATGTATCTAAATCAGAACAGGACCAGGAAGTCTCAGAGACAGGGCATAGTTATTTGGTTAGTGTTTTGGGGACAGAGTTCTTGCCCATAGCACATACTACATTTGCTGATACAGTACTCTGAAAATTAAGAAAGTCAAAATTCTTCGTGACTTCTAACTGGATTACAGTACCTGCTTCCTGATTTCAGCTACTATAGTTTGTATTCAGTTTTTTTTTGGCTCACCAAGAATATTGTTCCTGACTTCGTGTTGTCTAAACTGTTGTGCCTTGCATGCTATAAATGTTCAATTATGTCAGAAAACTGAGATTTGGTCTTATGCTGGGCATGTGCTACTGCTGGTGAATGGGATCAGGTTAAGCT